AACTAGGGGTAGATGCAATGGAATTCAGATGAAAGTGGGATCAGTGCAAATTTGCTTTGATGCTTATGTGTTGGAGTTAGGAGGTGTGGATTTGATTTTAGGAGTTGTGTGGCTAGAAACATTGGGGAAGGTGACCATGGATTGGAAAGAAATGTCTATGGAGTTCAACCATAAAGGCAGGATGGTGAAACTACTTGGTCAGGCTGTAGATGATAAGATGGCTACTTTCCAAAGCATTATCACTCCTTTTCGAATGATAGCAGGCTGTGAATGGCCTACCTTGATGGAGGTGTTAGGGTCACCGGTGTCGTGTGTCTCTGATCAACAGACTAAGGAGTTGGAAGGATTGCTGGAGCATTTTGTTATTGTGTTTAAAGAAATCCAAGGTCTTCCTCCGTCAAGAAACACTAGTCATTCAATTGACCTTTTCCAGGGTGCGGGTCCGGTAAGTGTGCGACCTTACAGATATCCTCATTTACACAAGGATGAAATTGAAAAACAGATTCAGAGCCTATTGCAACAAGGGGTGGTTAGAAACAGCACCAGCGCGTTCTCTAGTCCCGTCATTTTGGTCAAGAAGAAGGATCAATTTTGGCGTATGTGTGTAGATTACCGTGCACTCAACAAGGTAACAATTCAGGACAAGTATCCTATTTCGGTTGTAGATGAATTGTTAGATGAGTTACATGGCTGTAGTTATTTCTCTAAGCTTGATCTTAAATTCGGTTATCATCAAATTCGTATGAAGGAAGAGGATATTCATAAAACTGCTTTTTGGACTCATGAGGGTCACTATGAGTTTTTGGTAATGCCGTTTGGCCTCACCAATGCTCCTGCAATTTTTCAATCGGCGATGAATGCAATTTTCAAGCCCTTTCTAAGGAAGTTTGTCCTGTTTTTTTTTGATGATATCCTAGTATACAGTAGTAGTTGGGCTGAACATTTACAGCACTTGGAGGTGGTTCTTAATATTCTGAAGCAGCATCAGTTTGTGGCAAATCGGAAGAAATGCAGTTTCGGTCAGCACCAAGTAGAATATTTGGGCCATGTCATTTCCAAAGCAGGGGTTGCTGTTGATCCTGCCAAGGTCAGCAGTGTGTTACAATGGCCTATTCCTAGGAATGTCAAAGGAGTGCGAGGTTTTTTGGGGTTGACGGGTTATTACCGAAAGTTTATAGCGAATTATGGAAAAATTGCTAAACCCTTAACAGAATTGACAAAGAAGGATGGTTTTAGCTGGAATCCGGCAGCTGCCGAAGCTTTTGAGAAATTGAAAGTAGCTGTTACAACTGCCCCAGGTTTAGCCCGGCCTAATTTCAAGTTCCCCTTTGAAATTGAATGTGATGCCTCGGGAAAAGGAGTTGGTGCAGTATTGTTACAATCGAAGCATCCCATTGCATATTTTAGCAAGGCTTTTGAATCATCTAGGTTATCCAACTCTGCCTATGATAAGGAGTTGATGGCTTTAGTGTTAGCTATTCAACATTGGCGACATTATTTGTTAGGCAGGAGGTTTGTGGTTTATTCTGATCAAAAGAGCCTAAAACACTTGTTGCAACAACGTATTACCACAGCAAATCAGCAAGAATGGATGGCTAAGTTATTGGGTTTTGACTTTGAGGTGGTGTACAAGGTGGGAGTGGAAAATAAAGTGGCTGATGTTTTATCTAGACAGCACGAGAATGCTGAAATGCAAGCGATTAAATCCTACCCTATTTGGCAGCAGAGCAGCCAACTACAACAAGAAGTATCAAATGATCCTTTGCTTAAAAATATTATGGAAGCTATTCAAAAGGATCCTAATGCTAAACCTGGTTTTGCTTTAAAAGGTGGCATCTTATTCTACAAAAATAGGTTAGTTATACCGACTAACTCGCCACTTATTGAGGAGTTACTCAAAGATTTTCATTCTTCTCCAAGTGGGGGTCACTCCGGCTACCTACACACTTATAGGAGAATGGCAGGAACTTTATATTGGCAAGGGATGATGCGGAGGGTGCAAGATTTTGTGAAAGCTTGTGATACTTGTCAACGACAAAAATATGCGGCAACGGCTCCTAATGGATTACTACAACCTCTTCCCATTTCGGTTATGGTGTGGAGTGAGATATCCATGGATTTCATCACTTGTTTGCCAAAAAGTAATGGATTTGAAGCTATATTGGTTGTGGTGGACCGTCTCTCCAAATACAGCCATTTCATTCCTCTTAAACATCCATTTACTGCTCGCTCAATAGCTGCTGTTTTTGTGAAGGAAGTGGTTAGATTACATGGCATTCCGGAGTCTATTCTTAGTGATCGTGACCCCTTGTTTGTGAGTATTTTTTGGAAAGAGTTGTTCAAATTAGTAGGTACGGTGCTTAAAATGTCCTCGGCATACCATCCCCAAACGGATGGTCAAACAGAAGTAATTAATCGTTGTTTAGAGGCCTATCTACGTTGTTTTATTGCAGATCAACCTAAGACATGGGCACACTGGATTCCATTGGCAGAACTGTGGTACAATACCACATTTCACGTGTCTACCGGGTTCACCCCTTTCGAGGTGGTATATGGTAGAAAGCCTCCAGTGTTGGTGCATTTTTTGGAGGGTGAAACCAGAGTGGAAGCTGTAGCACAGGAGTTAAGGGACAGAGATGAAGCGTTGCGTCAATTGAAAACTAATTTACTCAAAGCCCAGGAGGACATGAAATTCCAAGCTGACAAGAAACGCAAGGCAGTGCAATTTGAGGTGGGTGATTGGGTTTTCCTCAAATTACGTCCTCATCGACAACAATCGGTTGTGCAAAGAATCCATCAAAAACTGGCCCCTAGATTTTTCGGTCCATATCAAATCCTAAAGAAGATATGGCAGGTTGCTTATAAGTTGAAGTTACCACCAACATCTAAAATACATCCTACCTTTCATGTGTCGCAATTGAAGAAAGCGGTGGGCAACTATACTGCTACAATTCAGCTACCTATCAGTTTAGAGTCAGAAAAAGGGGACATTACTCCGGCTAAGGTTGTGTCATGGGGGGACAAATTTGATGGTGGACAACATAAGAGAGAATGGTTGATTCAATGGGAAGGGATGGATGTTGGAGATGCTACCTGGGAAGAGGAACTGTTGCTGAAGAGTCAATTCCCTGATCTGCGCCTTGAGGACAAGGCTAATGTTGTAGGTGGGGGTGATGATAGGAATGGATCAGATCCCACAAATGATGATGGGAATGTGTTAGTTAATAGAGATATTATTGGACCTAAACAATGGAGGGTATATGTGAGAAAGAATAGGAAACTCCACAAATAAATAGGAGTTAGTTTAGGTATTATTCTCCATATAAATAGGAGTTAGTTTAGGGATTATTCTCCATATAAAAAGGAGTGTATGGGGCAGTAGTTAGGCATTGATTGATTTTCTGTTTTTGATATTAGGGTTTGGGCAGTGAGAGAATTGTTTCTCTGACTGAGTAGCAGTAGCTCTGGAATTTATTTTACTTTCACATTCATTAATAAAATACTTTTCTTTATCATATTATATCATACCTCTGTTCTATCAATGTGAGACTATTCTATATACAAATATTCTTAACAATGGTAGGGGAAAGTAGATATCTACTAGTATACGATGGATGTTTTCTACTAGTATACTGTTCCTAAGACTATTCTATATACAAATATTCTTTAACAATATATATATATCAACACTTTTAATGTTCGTATATGTATTTTTGATTTTTTTTTTAGGATGGTGGCATGGTGGGTGACAATGTTTTGAGTGCATTATCTGTTCTTTTATATTGTATATACTATTTGAGTATTTCTAATTTTCCCCCAATTGATGTACTCAAATCTGTCTCTTTCTTTCTCTCCTTGCTGCAGAATTAACATGGAATGATGCCCAAAATTTATTAGATTGCTTTGTCGAATGTGCACAAATTAGTCTTGAACCATCATGCACAAGTTTGTTTTCCACCATTGGATCAAATGAGATTTATTGATCCAATGGTGGAAAACAAACTTGTGCATGGTGCAAAACTTATCTCACTTGTAAACCATAGAATTAACCATCTTTGATATTCAAAATGTGGAAAAATATCCTGTCTTGGTTGTTGTGTGTTTCTTGGCTTATTGCTAAAGGGAAAGAAAGGCCAAGAAGAACTATATGAGAAACTATTAGGAAACTTAAGAGACCAATGGTTTGAATAGTGATATGATGTAGTTTGACCCATGTAGTCAACCACACCTAGTAAGATAAGGATTGGTAGTTGGGGACAAATTGATGCCGGGGAAAGTAGATATCTACTAGTATACGATGGATGTTTTCTACTAGTATACTGTAGTGTGGATGCTTGGGTTGCTCATCACTACATATGATATAGTTATAGATAGTTTAAATCATCCAAGCAAGTAACAAAATCATTTGCTTGGCGTTATAGCCTTAAGATAAATTTAAGGTAGCAGAATTTTGCAATGAAATTAACTGACTGATACGGTGAAGATGTTATCATGTTTTCTCTTTCCTAAAAAATATTACTAGTATATTATTTTACTATTATATTTGTTAAGAATCCGGTGGGCCACCTTCTATGGTTTCCGCTATCGGGCCACCCACCATTTATTTCCACGCTTCAGTTGTCCAGTCCTGAGCGTGAGGGGGTGTGTTAAGAGTCCCACATCGGACAATATATAGCATGAACATGTGTTTATAAGTGGGGGCAATCCTCACTCTATCAACCGGTTTTGTAGGGTTGAGTTAGGCCCAACCACAATTCTTAACAATATTCATCTATACTTAATAAATATGTATAAGTATACACTCAATTGTATTATATATGCATATGCTATTATATTTTAACTATTTTATTTTCTTGTAAAAAACTATTTATAAGCTCTTGTAAAAATTTTTTTGTGATTTAGTTTTATATACTATTCATTTTTAATGAAGTTTGTCTATTTATTTTATTTTGATTTCACTACCATCAATTGCTTAGACAGCTGAATGTTTCTTGATGCAGCAAAATTGAAAGAAATGGGCAATTCTGTCTTGGGACGCTTTGGGATGAGCGTTGACAACTTCAAAGCAGTCAAAGATCCAAACACTGGTTCCTATTCTATCTCAATGGAACGCTAAGTTTCGTTGAGCAAGGTCATAATAGCAGTAAGCAAGAAAGAGGGGCTGTTTAATGGTTGAGACTTTGTTGGCATCAAGTCATTAGAAGAATACAAAGGTTAGCAATGTATCTTCAAAAGGGCGTTTTGTGATTGATTTGTCGTGTCAAGGAGACTGAAACTTCATGCTTACAGTTAATGTGCTATAGATTTTAGAACAAAAGAATTGTATTCATCAAATTGAATAGTTCATATGATTCCATTGTCTATTGGGAAATGCGAGGAACACATTCCCCATTCTCTCATAGTCTTCCTAACACTATTGGATAAAAACTCATCCATTCCCACTATTAGAGTGGTCTCGTGTTATCTAATGGGACAGACATGGGAGAGAAAATGTTGAACAGAGTGTTAAACAGTATAGTGTGATGTTCCTTGTGGCTTAAGGTTCTCTAAATTAGCTTTCTTTTTCCTTTCTGAAATGTGCACTTGTTTAAGAAGGTAGATCTTTGAAACCTGAAGTTACTCCACACTTATTTGTTATGGCATAAATGAGAATGAGATGGTAATAAGTAAATGCAACTCATTTAGGCACTATCCTAAATTTGTGTCTCTTGGCACCAACTTAACTGAGTTGAAAACAATTGATCTAAACTGAAAAGACAGTTTTTTTTACCCCGTAAAATAAGAAAAACCTTTTCCTTTCATTCTGTGTTTTACCATGTGCCGGATCAGGGACTTCATGTGACTGCTTATTTGGTCTAATTCGGTTTGTGTTCCAGGTTCTTGGAATTCTGGGTAAATAGAGTAGAAAGCAAGTTGAACATTGTTTGTTCGATGTCAGAGTGTATTAACCATGTGGGTATTTGCTATAGAAGCTAATGTTGGAGTTTGTAAAAGTTTCCTTTTGGATTGTCCTTGCACTTGCCATTTTTGTTTATGCTACTTTAAATACAGGAGTGTACTCCAACATAATATGTGGTTATCATTGTTGGGGAAAACATGGTCCTCAAATGGTCTAAGACTGTTTTTCAAAAATTAATTTTCGAAAACGTTTCCTTTTTGAAATTGGAGTTTGATAAAATATTATGCGATGGAAAAATATATAATTGACAAAAATATATAATCGATGTGATTGGAAAGATCTCAGATATAACAACGAAGTACTCAGATAATAGAGTTTGAACACAACAAATTACTAATCAATTAAGTAGTAATTAAGCTAACATCAAACAGGACAAATTACTAATCAATCAAGTAGTAATTAAGTTAACATCAAACACGACAAATTACTAATCAATCAAGTAGTAATTAAGCTAACATACGATATGTGTGAATTATAATTCGAATTTATTTGATTGATAAAAATTTTACAATCAAATTATAATTCGAATTTATTTGATTGATAAAGATTCTACAATCACAACGTCAAGAAGATCGTTCAAGAATTTAGTCTAACCCGTGCTAGGAGGTAATTTGTGCGTATGTGACGTTGCCGCTATTTTTTAATAACATAAATAATCTTTATGTAATTTATCTGATTAGTAGTAAAAAAGATACTCTATTTAGTGAAAATTTGCTTTAACAAGATGAAATGAAAATAAATTTACTAAATATGAGAAGAGACAAATAATATGGTAGTAGAAGTCTTTATGGGTGATCTTTACATACATGGATCTTATTGTTTATTGAATTAATATCAAATTTGAATCGAATTTTGTCTCCTGCCCTAAACATATTAGATTCACAAAAGTCGTATCATTCAAATGCCAATTTTGTTTTGCAGGGGTCTACGATCTTTAATATAGTGGGCAACTTTTCTTGCTGTTATCACTATAGAGAAGAAGCTATTGTAGTCATAACCTCTTAATATTGAAGTAAAGTATTTCTGAATTTAAAAAAAATAAAAAGTTGGAAATCAAAAAATTAAAAAAATAATATATCAAATGAAAACATATTGAAAAAAGTGAAGAACTTAACTAATTTCGGCAAATTGATATTAACAAGAGTGAGTGCAATATCAAATACAAAGATATTTGACTAGCGGTATAAGATCTTCAGTCACCTAATGCATCATACATATATCACATTTCAGTTGACTGATATGGGAATTCATCACGTCTAGATGCTCTTTGAAAACCGATTTAGAGATCAAAGCTACAAACCTTGTACAATTGAACTCTTTGATGTGGTTGGTAAGATTTCCCGCAAGACCTTTGTTTTCAAGACTAAATACCTCAACAAACATCAAAGGTGAAATCAAACTGTCTTCCATTCAACACACATTATAATCCAGTGGTCGTTTGACACATGTTACAGTCAAAGGTTTTGATATGATAAGGGTTGTACTGCTTGTTTAGAGCAAAAAACGGCAACAACCTGTGCTTGTAAAAAGGATTTAGAAAAACTAATTGCAACTTTTCTTCAGCCTCTTTGGTGATGTAGTATTCTGGCTCACGAGTTTTCTCAACATACAACTCTCTAAACTTTTTAAAATCATTCTGAGAGAGCATGTGACTCACTTTTTAAATAGAAGATGAGGGGTCTAAAATGGTTGAACTTGAACCAGAAGTATGAGCATGAGGTAGAATGATGCAGACCTTGGACTTTTGAGCATGGAAGAATCCTTTGAAGGTTCCTTACGAGCATTATTCTTGGTTTTGTGTTGCTTGGGAACTGGTGGAGGAAAAGAAAATTAGGTCAAAGGTCTCTTATCGTGTCGATTATCAGATGAACTACCTTGCATTCCATAATGATTGAAAAAGGTTGGGAGAAATGAGATGAAGATGAATGAATATTCTAAGATGAAATGAGATTAAAAAGAGTTTGTGTGAGGAAATGAAATTAAAAGGCGTGTTTTTGAAGAACACGCAAGGGGTTTGTCTGGAGATTGAAATCGGTATTCACCCTTTTTTTTTTATCATGTATGAAAAATATATAATGAGTTTATTCGAGGATTGAAATTCATATTCACCCTTTTGGCATCACCATGACTCACACCAAACTAATTGACAAGATTTGTTATATAACACTTAAACATACCAAAACGTTAATTTCAATATTTATACAAGCGATATTAGACATACGTTAAAACACATTAAAATGTATCCTGATTATATCTGACCTAAAGTGATCAGAATGGATTGCCTTGACCTTCAATGTAGGACAACAATAATGGTTGTAGGAGAGGAGGGGGTTGTACCTGCAAGGTAATCCAATGCTAAAGTAAGTGTTTGAGCTAGAGAGAAAGCAAGTACGAGTGTATAGGTATGAGCAAGAATGATTAGAATATCTGACCTTTGTAACAGCCCAATTTTTAATAATTAATTAATTGTACTAGTTAATCGATTTATGTGATTTATTTGATTTAAATGAATTATTTGATTTATCTAATTTATATGAGTTAATTGATTTAATCTAAATGTGTGATTTATTGAATTAATTAAACTAATTGATTTATTCTATTTGGTAGAATAGTGTATAATTGCTATATTAATTAGTTGAGCCTAATTATGAGTGTGTGAATAGAAAGTGAGAGTGGGATGAGTAAAACCCAATAGAAATAGTTAAAGAGTTAGGGTTTTAGAGAAGAGAAGTTGGTAAAAGAAGGAAAAAGGGAAAAAAGAGAATAGAGAACATAGAAGAGAAGAAGAGAAGGAGGCAAGAGGGAAAGAAGAGTGGAAGGGAGAAACTCAGAATTCAAGCATCCAAGGAATCAAGGATTCTTTCCAAAGAAAAACCTAAGGTAAGGGTGGGCATTCTCTCATTATTGGAATTGTGGATTAATTGTTAATGGGTAGAAGTTGTGTAGGAAAAAACCCTTAATTTGGAATTGTGGATTAATGGTTAATGGGTAGAAGTTTGTGTAAGGAAAAACCCATAGATTTCTCATGATTTAGTGAATTTTCGAGTTTTGTGAATGCCCTAATATGAAGGGATTGATGATGGTAGCAAAGAAGGGAATGGTTGGTAAAAATACAATTTTCTGCATAATTTTTCAAAAGCGCACAGTGAGCAATCGATTGTACCAATATGTCAATCGATTTCATACTGAGCAAAACTGCTGGAAACTAAATTTTTAGCTGTCCAATCGATTGCACTAATATGTCAATCGATTGCACAGTAAAACAGTAGCTAAAATGATGAAAATTTCAAAGGTACAATCGATTGCACTATGAATGTCAATCGATTGCACTTAAAAACAGTAGCTAAAAATATGAGAAATTGGACCGTACAATCGATTGCACAATAACTCTAATCGATTGCATGTTGTACAGAAGCTGAAATAAGTGAATTTTTCACATGTACAATCGATTGCATGTTCACTACAATCGATTGCACTAACTGAAAATTGGAAAAGTCATACATTGGAAGTTTGATTACACAGAGTCATTGTTTAATTAAACCTTAACTAAAACATGGACTAATTGAGATGATTATTGATTATTTACTTGAGTATTGATTGATTATAAACCTTTGGTTGGTTATTAAGATACAAATTGTTGTTTAACAAGTTGATTGTGTATTGAATATTGAATTCAATTATTGGTGATGGATTGATTGTCCTATGTGTAATCATTGAACTGTGTTGTGAATTGTGATTGAATCTAATTGATTCTTATGCATTACTTGATAAATGTAGTGATGATGTTGAAAGTATGAATACTTTGATTATTATGAAATGTGTTGTGTGTGCAATCATGCTATAATTCTTGTGTGATGAATTATTTGAGAATGTATGAGATTAAGATGTGAGAACGGTCTTAAGTGCATATGGTTGTTGATTGCATACGCATCATTTGTTGTTAAGAGGCAATGCTTGCTAGTTTCGTGGAGGCTAGATACTTGTCCCAAACCTAGAGTGGGGTTTGAAAGCCTAGGGGACGAGCTTTTGTTTGTTATTGGTCTAGGGGATGGACCCGGTTTAAATGTAAAAACCGAAAAATAATAACAAGTGTTGGTACCAGATGGCATGAGTTGCATTGAGTTTGCATCGAGTCGCATGGCATATATAATTGTTGT